TTTTATAAATGCTATAAAAATGGTTATATTTTGCTAGAGGACCGTACACTATTACCGGCAAAGTTTCCCCTCTGCAAACAGTCCAATACCACATTTTCTTTCCAGTTTTTCGACAGGTTCAATACCCAGCCAATAAGCCAACGTCAAATTTTCAAGGCTCTCATCCCCAATTGGCCCATCGCCAATCCAAGAATCGTTTGTCAAGCTTCGCCCCGGGGTGTCTGAAGTTGCGGGCGGAGGGCGATGCGGCAGCTGGAGGGCTGTCACCAGGGGGGGCCCATAGATGCAAATCCTCGTCTTCGGGCCCTGAAAGGCGAAGGCTTCTTCTCGCTCCCTGGGGGGACACTCATATCCACCGGCTATGGCCCATTCACAGCTCGTTCGCACAATCACAGCCCCGCAGATCCCTGGGGGCATCCCAGGGCGGGGGTCGGCTATGAAATGCGCGCATGGATACGGTGTCCGGCCAATCAACCCGAAATAAAAACAAACCAAGGCCGAATTCGACGTTGCGACAACGTCCGCCACTGCATGGTGGCCCTAAAAGTCTCAAAAACACGCCCTGAGGCTCGGTAAGGCACCAACCAAACCGGCCCTTGCCCCAATCATAAATCAGGAGTGTTGCGAGTGAGTGCACGGGAGCTACAGTCATAAACGCGACCCACCCCCACCCAATTATCAAATGCCCCCGGGCAATCAGACAACGAGTAAGTCCATCAACCATTCCACAAAAAAAATGCCTTTTTACTTGCAATTACGACTGGGACGAGAGCTGCAGACGAAGGTCGAAGGTTTTCTGATGGTACGAGGGGTTAGAAACTCACGACCAAAATTTAGTTTTTGATTTTCCTAAATTTAGAGGACACAGGCTCGAGGTCTTAGATATTTCCATTTTTTTTTCAGAGGAAAACCTCGCTCTCAAGAGTGCCCTCAAATTCAACAAAACAAATGCCCAAAGAAAAACAATAATAGAAAACTTCATTTATAGACGGAAGTCTATTGGCCTATCGACTTGGGAACCCATCTTCCGACTGGGATCACCGTAACCCGGGTCATTATTTCCCGGCGTTCGAGTTGCAGGTTCCCATTTCCTCGTTCCCCCGCTTTTTATGACCGACGTACTCGTTTTCGACCTGGCCCCGAACGGTAAATGGGTTGCCAAACCGGAAAATTCAAATCGACTTACACAATGAAAATTCCACTGGTGCTCTTCATCTTGAATCGAAGAACAACAACACGTGTCTCGAATTGTGCATGTTGAGAACGGGCCGACTCTCGCTGCCATCACTCTCCTCAGATGTTATCTGGGCATCGGTGGGTAAACCCGGATGGATGCCTAAAAGGTGTCGCCGCCGCCCTCGCAAGGTCCAGGCGGCACCTCAGCTGTGCTGGCTCGCCGGCTCGAGGCCAAGGCTGTCAATCATAAACGTTTCCATCCACTCCAATTAAATAAGGTGCTAGCCTTCTAGCCCACCAGGGATCCACGCGTGAATCACTACGGAACCAAAGCTACTGAAAAAATCGCCATCAGTCAGAAGAAGAGTGATCACATTATAAAGATCGGGGCTGAACACACACGTATCTTTAAAATAGCAGCACATTTTCCGAAAATTTATTCTTAAAATTTTTATGAACTAACGTGGCCATCCAATCACAATGCGGAGCTCCTAGGCCATGTAGGATATGGTCTAGTTGGGGGAAAAGAGACGGACATTCATATCAGAAGAGTGATCACATTATAAAGATCGGGGCTGAACACACACGTAATTAATTTTTGGGCTATTAACAGAAAGCAAACAAAAAACTAATAAGGAAGGTAAAATAGCGACCTTACGTGCCGGAATTTCTAATCGAACCAATGGGCGGCAGCACCAGCACCGCGAGCCGGTGGGCGGCGAGAGAGGTTGTTGTCGCCAACTGAAAAAAAGGACGAGCTCATACTACCTCCAAACAAAAGCAGGTTATGAAAAAAGTGTGGAAACTAACAAGAGTTAGATGTACGCGCAGCAGCGTTGCTGTTTGGCGGTTGAGCACGATGGTCTCTGGCACCAAAGCTGCGACCACCTCCGTCACGCCGGTTGTACGAGCCTCCATCTTTGGCCGATCCGGGCATATTTCCACGTGCAGCCTGAAAAAAAAAACAAGTTAGTCGCGTAATCCGTAAAAATGCACCGTTACTGATAAACAAAGAAGGATCAGTCGCAACGCAATAACTTGAACGCACCTCTTCAAGGAAAGCGGGCACTTCCTGGTTCGACTCGACAATCAAATTCATCAAGTCGCGAGCGAGACGCACATTGCGGCTTGAGAAGAAAGATGTGGCTAGTCCGACGTTTCCGGCACGGCCAGTACGCCCAATACGATGAACGTATTCGTCGATATCACCCGGCAAATCGTAGTTGATCACATGCTTGACGTTTGGAATGTCCAAGCCACGAGCCGCAACGGCGGTCGCCACCATAATCGGGGCTCGACCAGAGCTAAAAATTATTTTTTTGGAAGGCCTTGCAATCAAACAATTACCGGAAAGTGATGAGGTTCTTCACGAGTGACCTGTGGCAAATCTCCATGAATCGGAACAGCATTGTAGCTGGAGCGCTCCAAGAAAAAGCTGAGATCGTTTGCGTTACGCTTCGTTTCGACGAAAACGACCGTCAGCGCATTCGGGTCTGCAAAGCATGTTTCACAGGAGAGTCTGCAAAGTCCTTACCTTGTGCATCCAGAAGATCCATAAGGAATTCGCGCTTCTCAGCATCATTGACAAATAGAATCTGAAACGATACGTAGCCGCAAATAAAATAAAAGGCAACCTTTTGCTGGATGTTTTCAGAAGTGGAGCCTACACGTCCAACGGCCAGGAATACATAGTCTGGCAAGAGGAAATCCTGCGCGAGGACCTAAATATATACCAATTATACGAACGGACGGATTATTTTCAACCTGAATATCCTTAGCGAAAGTGGCCGAAAACATTGCAGTAACACGTTCGCCCCGTTGTGGCATGCCCGAACGTTGAACGATCTAAACAAAAGTATATTGAAAGAGACCAGACAACCTGGCGGATTTGTGGCTCGAAACCCATATCAAGCATACGATCAGCCTCATCGAGGATAAGATTCCGGCAACCTTCGAGCCCAATCCAGCCCTGTTCCAAGATGTCTATGAGACGTCCCGGAGTCGCAATCAGCACGTGACAGCCGAGCTAAAACCATCATAAAATAGCAAAGGTTTTGCGGACCCGGAGCTTGTTGATTTGTTCGCGGTAGTTCTCTTTACCCCCGTAAAGAACGCAGATACGAAGCGGGGTCCGGTACGAGAATTTACAAGCCTCATTATAAATCTAAAGTGCTTTGATGTACCCTCGATCAGCAAAAATGCCTGCAACGCCAGCTCCCGAGTCGGAGCGATCACGAGGGCCGCAGGAAAGTGCTGGCGGCGATGAGAATGGGTGGTGCTTGCCGGCAACAGCGCTGAAGGACCACCCTGAGACGAACAAACTTTTGAAGAAATGGCCGTTAATTATACCTGCAGGATACTGTGAATAACCGGCACGAGAAAAGCAGCCGTTTTGCCGGATCCGGTCTGGGCGCACGACATAAGATCCAAGCCTGCCATGATAGCCGGGATGGAATGCCTGCGAAAAATAGATAAGAGCTGTCGCTTTTTACTTTTGTACAGGAGTCGGTCGTGTGTAGCCAGTTAGTGTGATATTCTCCATCACCCATGGATGCAGGGCAAGTTCGTCAAACTGTAAAAAGGCGTTGGCGAACTTGAAAATTAAAATTACCGAATGAATTGGGTCGGGAACACTGCCGCCAGTGGCTTCAACAGGAATCTCCTCGTACTTGTCGAAATTAATGCCAGAGCCGGCGTGTGCGAAAACCTCGGCCTCGTATTGTGTATCGCGGGGGCCCTGCACAGTCCAAGCCCGCTCCACCGCTGCGCTGCCATCGCCGGAAGCACCACGACCTTGACCACTAAAACACTAATAAAGTTGTCGACTACCAAGTCATACGGTCTGTCAAAGAAGCTTCCGCGGCGATCCTTCTGAGGTGTGCCACCATAACCAGAGTCCGGGCGCTGGTAGTCCCTAAAAAGCTGGGTAAAGAAAGCCGACAACAAAACCTGTCGTTCCGAGACGGCGGCCGACTGTCCTTGGTGTTGCCGTAGCTGCCATAATTACCACGTTGGCCTCCTAAAAATCTGTGAAGGTCAAAAAACCAAAGATACCTCCATAGCGTCCGCTTGAGTAGCGAGGGCTGGAGTGCGAAGCGTGCGTTGAAGTAGTGGAATCCACTTCTGCAGCTCCTTCAGGTAGCCCGCGACGATGGGGCGGTACGTAGACACTCTTTTTCGGAGCTCCTTCCACTTGCGACATCTCCGTAATTGTGGTAACGGTTTATCTGAAGTCTGTTTCGAAAGCCGGACGTCAGAGGTGTGAGGTGCAATAAAAAGACCAGAGGAAAGGAGGCTTAAAAAATCGATATATTCGGATTGAACGGAGAGTTCATTTGCCATAGAAAAGAAAGAATTTATTTCTCGAAGCCTAATTTGAGAGTTCAATTTGCTATTGGAACCTTGAAAAGATTGGTCGTAGACGGTCATCAAGTGAACTGTGAAAATGCGGGTGTAGTACTTCTTGAAACATTGACGCCGGCGTCCTGCGAAGAATCTACAAAAACATCGTATCAAGCGGAAGGAGTCTTGCAACGGAACGTTCTTGAAAACATTTTTTCTTTTTTATTTTGTAAAAATAAGTTGACTTCGTCTTGTATCGGATTTTTCTCCTTCCAACGTTGATGCCAGGCCTAATTTTGAAACGCTTGTTTTGAGTATTTTTGATTCGACATTGGCCAATTCCTTTTGCTCAGGATGTTCTAGTGGTGACGAAATTAACGGCTGATGTTTTATTTCTCGCGTAAACCCTCGTCGTTTTTCAAAGCGGCATATATGCTGTAATTATTAAATCACCGTTTCAGCCCTTAAATCGCTCCATTGCCATGGCTACGTTTGATTCGGACGGTTGGGACGACATCAGGACTGCGACTAACATCGATGATGTCACGAATCAAATGGACAGAGTATCTATTCAACTAGATGACGCAGGTAAGCAAGCATTTGTCATAATTATGCTTTAGCAGTCGGCCGACCGCATACGAACTTTCGCGATCAATTTGGAGTCATCGAACGGGATGGCGGTTGTTTTGGTACTTTAATGAACATACGTTTGTACTACTTTATATCTGTAGCTTCCAAACGACTTGTCGAGGAATATGTCGAGCGGTTCGCGGGTAAAAGCTTCGTGGTGGGATGTGCCTACGACCTCTACAGCGATATGTTCCTTATGGCCACAAGAAGCAATGTAAGTTTTCAATTATGGTGTTTATTTTGCTTAGATTTCTTACAAAGACGGAATCGAACGCCCATTCCCCGCAACAATACCTTTGTCGGATAGAAGTATCTATGAAGCCGATAAGGACGATACATTAAACGGCCCCACAGACGTCGCTATTTTGGAAGCGGGCTCCGAATACGCGGCCGTGTGCGGAAACAGGATTATCCGCTTGATGTACTCAAACGAAGTCGGCAAGGAGGGGTTCCAAGCAACAGACATTATGAGTAGAGCCTGTGGTCGTTCACAATTTCGAGGTACATAACCTTTCTTTTCATAATATTGATATAGGGATCGCTGCTGATTCAACGCAACGCCTCGTATTTACTTATTCGTTTGTCGAGCGACAAATTCTTTGTGTCGATGCTGATGGTTTGGATAAGGTGAGTAAATTGTTTCAAGCCAAATGTTTTCCGAATTGCTTCAGGTGATCTCGGCGATAGGGTATTTACCCGTACCAGAAACGTCCATGCGGTTTGGAAGCGTGTGCTTTATGGCCTACAACCCTACGAAACGAATGCTAGTCACATCGGATCTCGGCTTCGGAAAGCGTATGCTTTATCGATGTGCAAAATCTTTGTTTTTAGGAGAAGGACGTGGAAACCTCAACCGTGCACTTATCAGAACCTTTACGCTCTCCGAGAGCCGACAACTCGAAAAGAGTGGCGAGTACTTTGTCCCGGGAGTTCCCCCAAGGAATGTGACGCCAGGCTTTATTCAATATAGCTCGGGAATCCTGGTTTGCGATTCGGTTCAAATAATGATGCACCTGGTTAGGTTGACAATGAGGGCTGGATAGTAATTGGAGACGCGGACCGAGGGACTCTTCATGTGGGTCATTATTACCGCTTTATTTTACCATCAATTTAGTTGTTTGACGAACAGTTGCGGCCCAAATGCGTCGTCACGTTGCCGAGCAGCAAGCATGAACATAGGAAGCCATACATTACGGGAATCGCTCTATCGGCTACCCACGCGGCCATCGCCAGTTCCAGTACACGACAAGTGCATTTTTACAGCTTTCAGGTAGTTCCTTAGCTGTTTTGAAAAGTTCTTCTTTAGAATAGCTAGTCACGGATCTTAATGTCCTGCCGCCACATGGGTTCGCACTGCACCATCCGCCTTTGCCTATTTTTATCTACTAGATCATCACTGTTTTTATTTTAATTGTGCCTTTACTTATTATACAATTGTTTTAATGCCATATAAAGATTTATCGAAAATACAACAACCGAAAAAGCACAAACAAATCGGAGGATGTTAAAGGTTAGCAACAACGAAAATCCTTTTCTTCCGAAAAATGCTCTGATTTCCAGCTTGAGCGCGAGTGCAGTACCACTCGAGACTAAGATAAGGGCCGTAAAGCAGGGCGTCTAGATATGTCGCGAGTGGTATTCTTTCAGAATGGTATGAAGATGAGGGAATCCCTCTCGGATGGTCGCCAATATTGCCCAGATCACTGTCATCAGTCTAATATCAGCCTCGGTTGACGCAAGCCATGTTGCCTGAAATCAGAGCGCCTGCCGTTGACAACTTACTCGAAAGTGGTTTTCCTGAAAATACGATGCTATTGGCGTGACACGTGCAAGCGGATCTTCTTCTTTTCTGATAACATATTCCTCCTTGGTAAATAAGCAGCCAGTCATCAGCAACAATGAACTGCAGGGCACTGGCTCGTGGGTAACGCTAAATACGGGGATCGTTGAGGCTAGATTCGAGTTGCCGAGCAATATTTGGTTACCAAGCTCAGAGACAGAGGGGCTGACTATTTGATGATCTTATCTACTAACCTGCACTTGTCGAGAACATCTCCAGCCGAATGGATGTCGACCCTCGGTCCAACGTCAATAAACTCGTAGATTTTCAAGCCTAAAGAGCATTGTAGCCATTTTTTTTTAGATTACCAGAAAGCGGATGCCTGACTCTGGCTGGCCCATCATCCTCGTTCAATTCGACCGACAGTACCCGCTTGGCCCCCTCCATCAGCACGATCTCCTCGGGCGTTAGGGTGGCACGCATAATCTGAAATAGCTGTCTTTTAGAATTCCTACACCTAAAAATTCGATTCAGGCATCTTTCTCAAAAGGCGCCAGAGTTTCTAAAAATCTTATCTATAACACTTTCCATAAAAACACAGAATTTCATGATTTAACATATCGGATGCTACTAAGATTTCCCTCCCACGCAGCGTATAAGATGGGCCAGCGGCTGCCACTCGAGATCACCGAAACTCGCGCTCCCGGATGGCCCTGAACGTCGACCCAGCGACCGCCACGTTCCCTGCCGCCGGAGGGAACGCCAAGCACAGTCTCATCTCGCTGGCCGATACGCGACTTGCCTTCAAGGTATATTCAAGCACTACCAATTACCAAAGTCACATGGCGATTCAGGTGAAGTCATCGAACAACGAGTGCTACCGCGTGCGCCCCGTCTACGGATTTATCGGATCCAAAGCCACCGTCGTGCTCGACATCATGCGAATGGCCGGCCCGCCCAAGGAGGATAAATTCGTCATTCAGTGGGCTGAGGTAAGCGCTTTTCAGAGTAAAACTCTGCTAACAAAAAATTAACTTCAAACTCTAAATCAATTAAAATCCCTTTAAACGACGCCCAATTCCAGGTTCCCGAGGAGGAGACCGATCCGATGGCGCCGTTCAAGGCTGGCGCCCAGGCCGGCGAGGTCATCCTCCCCACGAAAGCCGAATAGAGGAGCACCGTTGAGCAGCGGAGCCGTGTGCCCATATAATTCATATCTCTTCGTCGAGCTAGAACGCCCTATCGCTTTGCACTGAATAAACTTTGTGCCCTTCTTACTTGTATTGCTTGAAATTACGCAAAAAAAAACGATCGAGTCGTGCGACACGCAACAGTACAAGCATGAACTACTTATGCGACCGTATCCTAACTTCACGCAAAAAAACCGACGAAACTCCCGTAGTTGCAATTTATAGATTTGTGCACTCCCAGGGGGAATGCGTTCCAAAATTTGTTCGAGACACTGTTGGTAGGTCTCGGGGTTAATGCTAACCTCAAACTTGGGTAATTAAACCGAAGCTATGGTGGGGTGGGTGCTTTTCTCAACTATCCAATGCACAGCTGGGGGTCTTTTGACGGGCAACCACACAACGAGCGATCTCTCGTTGTCTGCGCCTCGTGGAGGGCAGCCACTCCCGAAAAAGCCCTCCCTTTCAGCTCTACGTCTCCTCTCTACCCAGCTCTCACCGAAATGACGAGTGTACGCGACACTCATTGAGGCGAAGACAACGAGAGATCGCTCGTTGTGTGGTTGCCCGTCAAAAGACCCCCATCTGTATATTCGATAGTTGAGAAAAGCAGCCATCCCACCACAGCTTCGGTTTAATTACCCAAGTTTGAGGTTAGCATTAACCCCGAGACCTACCAACAGTGTCTCGAACAAATTTTGGAACGCATTCCCCCTGGGAGTGCACAAATATCTTTCAAAAAATAGGGGGGGGGAAACGTTCGCAGAGAAAGAAGAGGATAGTCATGTCCTAGCCTAGGCAACGAACAACGCAGTAATAACTGCTTTTTATAGGTCTAGTCTAGTCTTTTATATCCAAAGCTAAGGTCCCACTAGGCCCTAATAAATCTTCTATTTAACGGCAATAATAGAAAAACCCAATTTAGCAACCCACTTTTGTACTTGAAGCGTTGACAATGTCAAAGTCGATCGGGTGAAAATTCACAGCATTTCGGAGCACGTACTGTTGACAGGCCTCTTCTATCTGCATGGGGAGAAAGATAACGAAGCGTACGTTCCTGAAAACTCGTACCTGTACTATATCCACAACTTTGATGTCCACACATTCGACGTGATCGAGCACTCCGACGTGGTCAAGACGCGCCAGTTGTGGTGCGATAGCGGCAGAAAATCTCCTGGAAATAAGTTTTCAATTTACACGAAAAAATACCTGTCTGTGCAAGCGCTAGCCTTAAATTAAAAATTACCTAGCTGTCCGAGAAATCTGGCCGGTGATTGAGGTTCGCCGGTCGGACATCTTGCTAGCAGCCTTGCGATGAGTATTCACTTCAATACTCGCGAATCGGCGCCATGAATCTGATTGCGAGTGGTGCCGAGGTCCAAGTGAATCGATGGGTCGAAGCGGGCGAACAGCCTCTGTCCTGCTCCCACGCCGAATTGACGGCGATCGGCCACATGAAAACGTCCGGCCCCGACCAACCAACCGTCGTTTTACGGTTTTCACCCCTGAAAAAGTTGCACACCCGAAATAGCGACTACTCGTTATGGCGCGCTGCACGCCCCCGCCTAGTTAGCGGCCAGAAAAAAATGGGTAGATACCTGGGGTCGGATCATCCCGTTAACGACAAGTTGTAAAAAAAAAGCCCCGGTCGTTCTTCGTTATTGGTTAAATGGTATTCGTGGAATTTCCAAAAATAGGAAGCCACCAGGCGTGGTGAGCCAACGCGAGATTTTGTGCCGAAAACAGCGAGGGTATCTGGAAGGT